AAATATAATAATATAGGTACTAAAAGTTTCAAGTACCCACAAATTAAAACAAAACAACTAAAATAGTAAAGTCGTTATTCTTGGATGTAATAAATAATTTTGTTTGAACTTAAAATATCTGTGAATAAGGACGTGTTTATGTATTTTTTTTTTTAGATATTTTGGTTACAGTATGAATTATGTATGAGAATCATAGTTTTAAATTTTCAATCCTTACCTATACAAATTGAAAATTGAATTTTGCGCTAAAAAATAATTTGAAAACTTTCAAGATATTGAAGAGTTGTTATATCAAAACATTTGTTGTAATTTGTACGATCAATCTGCGGCAACTCTCTGAGCGTACGTACCAGCCGTCGTTGCTAGCACTCGGATGGGTGACCATCCGGGTTTTTAGTAACACATCCTTGCCATACATACAAACGTGTTCCAACCAACCGTCCTCCCCCCACACAGTTCCAGGCTAATGACCTTAGTAGTCGAAGCCTTAATACAAAAAAATCGTGTCTATGTATCTTTAATATTTCTCAACTGCTATTATAAAGAAGCTCATACCTATTAGCTTTTCTATTTTCAATCATTTTGACCCAACGAAAAAAATGTTATTGGCATTATATGGAAAAATAAAAACTTGTAAATGGGATGAGGTGACCGAGTGGTCTGACGCGTCCGCTGCGACGCAGCCGGTCGCGGTTCGATCCTCGGCTACCGGGCGGCATTTTTCTCCGGACAAGTCGCGGTGACCGGAGAACAAGTGCTGCCATCCCCCACCCCCGGGGCATGGCAGAAACGCCAGAAACCTACGGGTGCCCCATTCGAAATTCTGCCAAAAACAAACACACACGTGTTCCCCCCTACCGTCCCAAAATATATACAATACAAACTACAATACAAATCCTACTACAGCTATAATGGCCTCAGTTGTCGAAGCTTAAGTTCAATAAAAAAAAAAAAAAACTTGTAATGTCTATAAATAACTAAAATCTAGTCAAAATATTTTATCATGTAAAGAAAATGATAAAATAAATATTTGATGGAAATTTCACGTACCTACAGAGTACAGTTAATAGTTTTTAAATAAAAAAAATAAGAAAATCGTTCTATGAAGATTGTTAATCTTAACCCTGTGTATTACTTCAAACGATCACATAAAAAAATTATTTGACTCAAGTAAACATTTTTTTGTTTCGTTAAATAAGGAAAACTTACGGGGAATCTTGTATTCAATTTTCGAATATTAGATATATATTTTTTACGAATAAGAATAACTAACTAAATAAATTGCGAATTTTCATGGCTTTGATAAATTATGTCAACATTCTAACTTCTGATGCTCATAAAAAATTATTGTAGATTTACGTTCAACTTTAAAAAAAAAATGAAATATGTGGTTCTGTTTCTGAAATACCTTTTTTTTCCGCCCTTGTCACTCATCTGCTATAGGTAATCTATAGAGTTACAATAAAAAACGAAATCGATTTTTTTTTTCTAGTTGTCCCACTCAAAGAACAAATTTGATTTAATTTCCTAATAAAAAAGATGCTGAAGTAGAAAATCGAAGCAATTTTACTGCCTCAAAAGATGATGAGACAAAAATACATAGTAAAATCAATACATTCATCGCCCCTCTCGGAATTCAATCTGGTTGTGTTTACTATACCTAAACGGCTGCATGTAATTAATTTATTGTGAGTCATGGTCTAATTTATACAATATTGTCATTATTATTATTTTTGAATATATTAAGTATATAGGTAGTGTTCGTTCAAAAAGTTTCAACATTTTTTTTTATTTTAATAATATCTCACTAAAATAGCACAAGACATTAATTTACCACGTTTTTTTTAAATATATGTTTAAATTATATGTACTTGATTTTGCATATGTATAGGTACCTACTGTGAGCAGAGTTTATGTTCCCTCAGACACGTTCACAGTAGGTGTTTTGGTAGTTCAAACACCCCCAAAATGTTTATTTTTCATAATATGAATTTATACTAAATCACGTGGATAAAAAAGTTATAATTTTTTTCAATAACTGAAATCTAAAAACACCCACGATAAGGATTCCAAAACTATTATAGTATTACAACCTATAGGTATCTTAAATAAAATTATAACAACGATTTTGAAATCCAGTATCCAACTAGATGAAGCTGGTATGAAATAGTATAACAATGAACTCTAAAAGAAGACATTTACTGCAATTTCAAAGTATATATTATATTTATAAATTAAAATCAATTTATAGGTACATAATAGTACAACACTTTTTTTATTAGTGCGCCTACTTATAACTAACAATAATACGCTTATTATTACTATTATTATTTTATAAAGTAATATTATAGGTTTATAAATATTAAGTACGCATGTACTATATTTCATGTTGAGGACTTACCAACTGGCAACTATCCTAGAAGGAATTAATGATTAGAAAATCTGGATTTAGCCATGTATAGGTAAAAAAAATCCAAACAATAGTACATATTATTGTATATCATCTTTATTAAAATAACAACAGGTGAAATATATTTGGTGATTGAATCATTGAAGACATAAATTAAACACACCTAGCAATTATAACAATTATAGATTGCATTTCTTATATTTTACGATTAGTAATATGTTTAAATTATTTATTTTTATTCACTATGTCTTATGAATATAAATACCTTATACCTACTTATTTTATATGAAATCATAAAATGAGGAACTTGTAGATATCGTTGACACCAGTTACTTAATAATTATAGTTGTACCTATAGTATGGGTATACCAGTTATGTTTAGCTGAGAAATTAAAAAAAAAAAAAAATACTGGTGCAATTGCTTTATTAGCCTATAGCTCGTAAAAAATGTTTATGTAAAAAATCATCATTAAATATTCAGTAATATATTAATATATTTTGCAAATGTATAAATCATTGATTTTGCCGGCATTTAGAGAGGTCGGCTAGGTTAGGTTAGGTAATTATTGTAGTCTAGTAGCCTACATTATAATTTAGATGGGTCCATGTGAAAATCGCGAAAAAATAATCGCGAAAGTCAAAATCGCGAAAAAAAAACAGCGAAAATAAAAATCGCGAAAGGTTTTAACAGCGAAAACAATAATAGGGACAAGTAAGAAATTATTTTCGTTAGTGGGTATACCTTTATAATATAATAAGTAATATAGTTAATCAATAATGTAATTTTGTAATCTTGCGTCTTGGATCACGTAATAAAGATAAGCCGAAGTTGAACCTAACATCTGTCAAGCTTTGTCATAGTAAATAATAATAATAATGATACCTAGATAATCAATGTCATTTTGTACTTTGTACAAATCACCAGTCACACCAGTCCGCATTTCGTCCGTTCACCGTTGCTATATTCGTACAGTTATTCACTCGTAACATTTTCGCAATGGAGTTTATAAAAAGTCAAAAAAAACAAAAATTTACTTAAATATAATGGTTATTTATATAGGTTTGACAAAAAATATAAAAATACCATGTATTGGAGATGTACTGAAGAACTATGTAAATCGCGCCTTAATTTAAAAAACGACGAAATTGTAAAAGGACCTAGTGAACATAACCATACTATTTCAAATTTAGAATTTGAAAAACGTGTTTGTATAAACGAAATTAAAATTCGAGCTCTGTCATCTCAAGATAATCCACATCAGATCGTTTCAGAAGCCTCAACATTGTGTTCGCAAGCCGTTCACGGAGCTCTCCCTCCAGTAAGTTATATTAAACGCACTGTGTGCCGTATACGACAAATTAATAGTTCTGCTCCGTCTAACCCATTTACTATCACAGATATAACAATACCCGATAAATATTCCCAAACTATTGATGGTCGTACATTTTTAATAAATGACATTGAACCAGTTGAAAGTCGGATTTTAGTGTTTGCTACGAAAGAAAATTTAGATTTACTGTCTAAATCTGATCATTGGTTTGCAGATGGAACTTTTAAGTCTTGTCCTCCATTATTTACACAAGTATACACGATACATGTTATAAAGCATAATTTAGTAATACCAGTAGTTTTCGCTTTAATGCCAGATAAAACGCAAAGTTCGTATGAAAGGTTATTTTCGGCAATCAAAACACATAATATTAATTTAAATCCAAAAACAATAATGACTGATTTTGAACAAAGCTCATTAAACGCATTTAAAATACAATTTCCAAATACTGAACAAAATGGCTGTTTTTTTCATCAAACACAATGTGTTTGGCGAAAAATCCAAACTATTTCTGGAATGGTAGACAAGTATAAAGCAGACTCAGAGTTTTCATTGCAAGTCCGTTATTTGTCTGCCTTGGCTTTTGTTCCGGAAAATGACGTAATTGACGCATTTGAGACATTGTGTGAAAGTACGTATTACACTAATAATGAAGACGTGTTAGAACCACTTATTTCCTATTTTGAGGATACATGGATTGGTCGTCCAAATAGACGTAGAAGGAGAAATCCCAGATTCCCTATTTCACTGTGGAACTGCTTTAGGTCTACTATATCTGGTTTACCCAGAACAAATAATTATGTTGAAGGATGGCATAGAGGCTTTAATAACTTATTGAGTTCATGTCATCCAACAATATGGAAATTTATTGAAGCAATTCAAAAGCAACAAAGCTTAAATGAAATGAAAATAAATCAGTACATAGCGGGCACTGTTGAACCATCCAGAAAACGCAAAAGGGATACACTTACAGAATTAGTTAATGACTACTATAATAGGGACTGACTTGAATACCTAAGGGGTGTTGCCTATAATTTAAAATATCAAATTTAATAATTATTTATTGTATTTATTATTATTTATTTATTTATTCAATTTTGCAAATATTTTAAATTTATATACTTATATATTATAATTTTAGGAAAAATATCAAATTTAAATTGTATTTTTTTATAGTATTTTGACATATTTTAAGGTTTTTATGAAAAATAAACCAAAATGAATATATTTTAATTTTCGCTATTATTGTTTTCGCTGTTAAAACCGTTCGCGATTTTTATTTTCGCTGTTTTTTTTTCGCGATTTTGACTTTCGCGATTATTTTTTCGCGATTTTAACTGTCACCCAATTTAGATACTATGAATATTAATCTTATATTACATATCAATCCAACGTAGGTATATTAGGTTTATAAGTTATAACGCTAAATATAATATGCATAACAATAAATAATAATAGAGAAGTAGAGACAAAGTGCAAATTAACTAGTTGGAAAAATAAAGTCGTACGGCACTAAGTCAGACACCGATCCCAGCGTGTTTTTCATAATCGTTCCGAACGCGTCACCGATGGCAGGTCCGAACTCTTTCAGTAAATCTTGCCAGTTCTCGTTTAGAAAAAGGTTCATGTTATCTCCTGTAATGTACAAAATGAAAGGTTTCATTAAAAATACGTCTTTCTACTTGCTTTATATACAGACGACAGTAAAACATTTCAAATAAATATAAATGTAATAATTATTGAATCCTGCTCTCTTTCGATATTACCCTGCTGGCTGCTGTACAATAGTAGTAATAGTAATAGTAGTACCTTTATAAACACTGATTCCTAATACAGTTTTCTAACTTATTTTTCTAATGCTAGGTTAGTGCAATAAAAACTTGTAAAAAAAAACATAATATATTATAAGCTAAAAATATATTATATATTATGATCTAAAAATTACAAAATATATACGTTGAAGCGAATGTTCCTATACTAGGCCTAGCGGGTAAAAAATACATATATAAGTTAAGTAAATAAATTAAAGTAAGTTCCTACATGGCACAAAAATATATTATTATAGGTGTACAACTTTTCTTAAATTAATATTATATGATATATAGTGTGTTTTTTTGAAACAAGTATTAAAATATAGACAATGTAAGATATACATTTTGTTTTGTTTACAATAATGATGTATATTTAAATGTATGGAAATGAATTAATTTATTATAATATATATACAATATGTTATTTTTACCTACTACTCTCGTGTATAAACTTAAGATTCCCCATATACCTATATAGTGCCGCTAGTGGTATATAAATATTATTAATTATTCAGTGCTCTCAGTTGTGTAATAATACAATTTACGAATATACTAATATTTATGTGTTTAAAATAATTGTATTAACTAAATATGCGTTTAGCCTTTTATATATATTTAGCCATTTATGTAATGACATAGATTTATGTTCTTACATAGATATTCAAATTGCACTTATTGTAATACTTATTGTATAAATGTATTGATTATATAGGTATCTACGTATTTGTTGACAAGGTTATCTTCTATTTAGATGTCGACATATATATATATAAATACGTTCAATAGGTAGGTAATTTAATATATACATTATAATATAAAGTTTGGTAAAAAATTCTTAACAAGGTCTTACATTTTTACATGGGTATGTACTATTACTGTATTGCAATTAAATAATATTACATTTAGGTAGGTATAGCAATTACTAAAAGAATTTGTTACGTGTGCATCTTAATGTGTGTATAGGTATGAGCTATTTAATATAATTTTCAGTGTTTTTTTATGTTTATTGAGTGATATACTAGTCACAACATTGCATGACGCATGCAATTATGCGGTATATAGATTATAATATAATATATATAATTTTATACTTAAAAAAAATTGAATTGTACAACAGCATATAAATATTTAATGTAGAAATTTACACCTGTAAGCTAATAACCTATGTAGTTAATGCTTAACTAATAATAATAAAAAAAAAAAAAATATAATATATAATTTACCATGCATGTGCACTTACCCAAAAGCTTGTCTCCGTTGAATAAATTATCTAATTTCAATTTCATCCCCTTAGCATTGAACCTCAATTCACTCTTGACGATATCCACATAGTCTCTTTCATTCGCTCGTTTGACTAGATCGTAATCATACAAATACGTAAACGTTATCCCGTCTGAATAATTATAAAATTGAATTATTTAAACGGATAACAGCATCATAAATATTATAAATAGAGAAAGAATTTTGATGACTAGCATTTTTATGGGATGTGCTAAAGCCAACAAATATAATATATTTATGGTTCATTGTTTCATTTCAGAATAATAATTATGTAATTTGTTTTATTTATACATTTTGTTGTGTTTGCTCTATTTTAATTTTGTAAGTAATTTGTACATACATTCAATATTCGTTAATGAAATTTTGTTAGGGGTCTGTTTCCCTTGTCCCTCGAGATATTTAATAAAAAAAAAAAATCATTAATATTATCGCATAATAGTTTTTAAAATATTAGTTTAAGGTACCCAATTGTAGGTATTTCTTAATATTTTTTTTTGTCGATATCACTAAGACATTACTTTAACTGGTGCCACAGCCCAAAGATGTAGCATACTAAACACCTTGTTGTTAGGTACCTATGCATTTATATTGGACATTAAATATGTATAATATTCAATATTAGAGCACTATTTATTGTTATTTTTGTTTCTTTTTATATTCATCGGAAAAGGAGTAACCTTAGTCAGTAACCACGACCGCTCGACAATAGTTTTTTTATTATTAAGTCGACCCCTTAGCTCAAGTACAGATACATAATACGACCCATCCTAACATTGTTATTATATGCTTTGATGGCATTCGTTGGCTGTTTTTAAGGTGTTAATATTCTATCTTTAATTATTAATTTTAATATATGGATATTATGGTGTCATGTACAGTAATTGACACATCATTTTACAATAATGAACCAAATTCTTAAGTAGTACTTAGTACTTACTGACTGTGATATTGGCGTCTCCGTCGCCTTTGATTGGCAGTATCAGGACTTGCCCTGAGACCGAATATTGTCCCAAAAACATACATTGATCGAGTTCAAAGTCCCATTCAACATGTCTTTTTTTCTCGTCCACTCTATACATACAATAATTTTCATATACATAATGATACATTTTAGGTAACCACATATTTTCTCAAAATGTGATAACGTTAATAAAATTCTTATAGAATTATTTTTTTAATAATATTCTTACATTTGGGCGTGTGCTAATTTAAGTTTTAACACATTATTATGTACACCTACTTTCTCCTTTTTTGTGCATAATTTGATTTATTTACGGTGTCACGTGCGTTTATGTCCGTTATTTAAGGCAGCCTTACGAAGTTAGTGAAAAACTTGAATTTAACTATACTACAATATTAGAGCATATTATAAACGTATAGCCGCATGTGCAGTTAAATTTATTCTATTTTATTGTATTTCATTCACAAAGTGTTGAATATATTTCAAGAAAATGTTTAATGAATACCCGAGTATAAGTATTTATTAATGCAAATTTTTACAAATACATTTTAATTAGTCAATATTAGTTATATTTAGGTTTTTTCATATACTTTTCTAAAAACCAATGTATATAGTATACACCTACTTCATGTCATTTAACCGTTGATATTTCCAAATTTAAATATACATCCCGAATGCATAACCATGAAATTATTTATTACAAGTTACAACTGTTAAATTAAAATTATGATAAGAATTTATTTTCATGACATGTGTATGAGAGGTATGCGCGCGTGCCGACTACCAAGTTAAGTTACACAATTTGTATACTCAATTCAATCACCGTACCTATTCAACGTTTTGCCATGTATAAATAAATGTATTTTTCAATTCAATTCAATGCTCTGTTGTCGGATCTCTACATTTGAGACGTAATCATAGACTATTTTGAATCCAAACTTCACATGAACTTTATGCAGGTAGTCAATAAATGGTTATTGTCATGCATAGTTAATACAATGTTAGACTATAAAAGTATAAAACTGCACAAAAGTTACACGAGTTTACCTCACACCTACATACAAGTATAATTTAAAACTATTATAACGCTGTTTTAGTGTTTTCATACCTGGCCTTGACGAATCGCGTCTCTTTTAGTCCGTGAAGTTCGCAGTTCTTGCACGACATCGTCAGACCAACTTGTTTGGTACCCTGTTTGATCGTCAACTCTGGTATGACCAAAGGATCTAATTTTGGTATCCGATACTTTGGGTCACCTTTGACTATACGGTCGATTACTGGAGCTCCTTTGCGTACGACGCATTCGTTTAGGTTTGGGTCGTCCCTCAAACAGCCCTTACCGATGTACGACGCTGTAACCGTTTATAAAACCGTCATAAACACATTCATGATTCATCCTTGAGAGAGTGCTACCCATCCAATTGTTGGCTCCGTCTTACACACCGTACGAAATACATAATTGTCGTTCAATAGTTTCGTAGAGTGCTGTTAGTTTTGAAATTATAGTGAATCAACTTATTATCAAACTTTTAAGAACATAATCTGAGCTAAGCGTCAGCTTTTATTCCATTTTTTAAATTTTGTTTCGTATTTTAATTTGATATGAGCATTTAAGATTTGTGATGTTTCACATACCCACATATAGCTTGAAAATTCAAATATCGAACAAATCTCCGACGCGGCGACGTTTAAGCACGGAAAGCTTAAACCTAATCGGTTATAGACTAATTTACTCTAATAACAAAACCAACAGCACACTACTGAAACTAATGACATTTTCCATGTCGTTCGTTAGTAAGACGGAGACAACAAACGTACGGATTAGCGTCCTCTTTAACATTTATTTAATATTATGTAATTACATAATAATTAATCACTTTAATGTCTCTGCCATTAAATTAAGTATAATAGTAATTAATATATAGTTATAGTTAAATGATTTTTATCTGCTAATAAAAATTAGAATTATACGTTCAAACTTATTGATATATATTTTAGATTCTGAGCGTAGCCATGAATATATTGATCTTACCATGATTCGAGTTATTTGTGTATCTATATATATTATTATACATGAAAATAGTTGTCGAAATATTTTCAACTTCAGTAACTTTTCTGGTGAGAAAGTGAATCTAGTTGGTGCATTCGATAGGTCAAAATCCCAAAATAGATATTAGTTGTTTCCGTCTTTTAAATGCGTAACATTGGACATTTTACACTCAGCAGATTACCTTTATATCCATTAGTTTAAAAATTAGAGTGAATTGACCTCGTACAAGATGTAAAGCTAAGATTATTATCTAGGACATCTCATAGGATTTTTATTATATTTTAATTTTAAAGCGACTAAGCGAGTTATGAGTATTGTAAGATGTACAAACAATTTACAATTTTAAAATACTTATAATTCGCTTTAAAACTAAAATATAATAAAAAGCCTAAGAGATGGCCTAGATTATAACTTTATCTTAAAATTGTGTAAGAGGTCAATTCACTTAAATTTTCAAACTAACGGAGATAAACGAGTACTACTGTCGTAAAATTTGCCATGTTACGCATTTGTAAGACGGAGACAACAAATGTTCATCCAATGTCCTCTTAAAAATCATCGTTGTATATATGATTAATAGCGTTGTTGGTAGCCCTCCTTGATCCAAACTTATATTTTCAAAATATGTCAATGTCAGTATTCATTTTTGCGTTTTTTTTTTTTTTTGATCAACCTCCATGTTTTAAAAATTAATTATAATGCAATTAACTGTATATTAATTCCAAAGTAGTATCATATATTATGTATTGCATGGTGAGACGGGCATTTTAACGAAGGTCATCTACACGTTTTTATTTCAATATTTACCCCATAAGAATAAAATACAATTTAAAATGTCATTATTATTAAACATATGCTATAGACATATGTCTCGCTGATGTTATGTTTACATCTAAATATCAGATCAGTAATAATAATTAATCTATTTTATTAGTATACCCATGTTCACGTTTATTTAAGTTATTGAAATATCATATGCCCACGGTCCACCTATAATTATTTCGTGTGTGTGTTTTTGCGTATGGCATACGAGGTAGAGCAATATTCAATCAAACGGTTTTAGTACCTACAATCTACACATTACTTTTATCCATGTGCTTTATTGTATTATAATATATTATAGGTACTAAATCGAAAGATAATTATTATAATTTGTAAACAAAAGAAAATAATGTAATGATTGCATTTGATTGTTATTACTTATTAGGTCGTTATTGTTGAAGGAAATCTACATTATTATATACTCAACACAAAAGCTTCTGTTACCTGTATAATTAATCAAATTAATAAGAATGTTTATTGTACATATTGAATTTCGTGATCAAGATTCACACGAAGACAACTAGATACCGGGTATGTCATATAGATTTTAAATTCTTAGATAAACTTCTAATCTGCATTGTAGCTATAAGTGCATTGTAATTTACCGACTATAAGTTTTTTAATAGTCACCTGATATCATATTTATATTTAGTTGCATTTTGTATACATGTCTAGAAACTAAGAATTCAACTAGATTTTAAGTTTTTGTATCCTTTAAAATCCCACTCATCAAGTTAGTTATCTTATATAATATGTTAGGTACACAGTAAAATAACTAAAATAGTTTAAAGGATTCAATTAACTTTAAATAAGTAGTATTTAAAAATGAATTTCAAGAAAATGACGAGTTACAAAACATGGTCGAATTTAAATGATAAAAAGTCATTGTGGTTTCGTTTATGTTCAGAAAAATTAGTTAGAAGATAAGCAATACAAAAAACAGAAGGGTACATGGCACCCCCGTGGTCACGCCCTTCACTAATGTTATAAAAAAATGAAATATTCAGAATTTATTTAAAATTTAAAGTTACTAAGATGATTTTTTTAGATTATTTCTGTTTTTATGTATTTTTTTAATATTAATATTAATATAATAGTATTATTATAATGTTAATATCAATTATTATATAGATTCACAAGCGCAATTACCGCAGTATCTCCCCTCTCCTTCTATGGGTACTTACGTTAATAAATTTAAAAAAACTATATTTTTGCAACCATACAATTGACAGCTTACGCATATTAAAATTTAAAATTGTTTTCTGTGTAATAATATTCATTTATTTTTCCACGAAATGAGTGGACTCAAGTCTGGAAGTTCACCAGGACTTTTATACTTTTCAATAATTATACTTAAATACTTAGTAATGTCTCGAAGAAAACGCTTAATAATAATGATATTGTATTTATAACAAATATCACACCTAGACCTAATTAAATATAGGGATTTAAAAAAACTGCTTATAATGATTCGTTGTGTTTAATGATCTACATATAATATTTAAAAATACTCAAAAACATTTTTGAATCTGTTAACTATTTGCACTGCATAATAATTAGGGAGTGTTCAGTGATGATTTTGTTTTTTATTATTATATACATATTATATTACTTACGTAATGGTAGAGCTTGGAGCTTAGCCGATTGAACGTTTTTCACGATCACGTAACACGTTAAGAACATAAACGCCACAAATTTCGTCGCCATTATACTTATATATGTACAAAAATATATCCCGGTATTACTGGTATTAGATACAAATGCACTTTGTTTTTCTTAAGGTTCTCGTATAAATATAATTTTTGTATTTATTTACATAGATTGAATGCGTAAAAAATACGTATAAAAATGTTGTATAGAACTTTATGTATATTATTATGTAAGTACGAGGGACCCGGTCGGACTACGATAAAGTTTATCTATATATATATATATAGATTTATGATGTATATATATGGATCGATACGATGCCCATATATAGTACCTACGTCTACATATAACCGGCGACTGAATAAACGATAACTTTTCTCGCGTTCCCATATATATATACACATCTCATATGAATTATATATAGGTATAGATACGCTTATATAATGATAATAATAATTATTATTAAATAATTGTGGTCTGCACTCCAAATCGATGCGATTGTTTTGAATTTTTTCTCGTCGTCCTTGTACCAATATTTATTTACGGCCACGGCGACGTTAAAATACGCGGCTGCTACGTATATATGCGTGTCTGCAGGGGAATATAATATATTATATATATATATATACCTATGTGGTATTATCAATATACACAGTCGACGGTATATTGTGGCGGTATCATCATTCTTCACAAATCGAAACCGTTTTTATAATATTCCATCATATATATATATATGCGAGGGGCCTTCGCAGAGCCATCGTCGGTTGTTTCATACATAGTTGCTGAGATGGAAGACTTGGCGGTGGCCGGCGGCAAGGCGAAGCAACCTAGCTGCGAGCAGATCTACTATAGATACTGTAGCCGACGTCTCCCGAGATAATTAATTTCTGATAGAAAATGTATCTGCAGTATTTTTCACAAGTTTGTCCGTCAGTTACACCCATTTATAGATTTAAGTTTTTATTATAAATGCAGAAACGTTTGATCTTAAAAAATAAAAATAAATTGCGGTGAAAATTCTATAATAACCGCGGTATTTTTTTGTACTCGGTGAAAAGTCTTACTAATTTTAAACATGTTTGCGGTCGTTCCGTGACCTTCGTGGTTCTTTTTAAGAGGACGTAACGCTGGCGCCCGTTGTATCCTTCTTACAAATGCGTAACACGGCAAATTTGAGATCAGCAGATCACGTTTAGCTATAGTTTCGTTAGTTTAACGATTTGAGTGATTATAGGTCTGCTTATGAAACTTGTTGGTAAGAACATTAACCGTGGATTTATTTTACGATAACTCAGTTTACAAGCGAGTTGTGAGAATTTTTAATTCACAACTTATATACACTCAAAACTTGTTGAAAAATTGAACCATCGTATAAAACCTTCATACAAACACAGATAATATTCATGCTATCAAATTCCATACAAGTGCACTTGTAAGACGGATATACAACAAATGTTAGTGTTACGTCTTCTTAACAGGACATCTCGGTTTTGGTAGTGAAGCAATATTTTTAATTATTCAATAAATATTATTTCAGTGGATCTCCTTACATTGGTCTTATAATATTATTTTTTAAAGTTATAAATATTAATCATTATAGCACCATAAATAAAACGAAAGTATAATATATTATATATATATATTGGGCATTACAATTATATTGAATATAATGGGTGAGACACTTTTCGACCGAAATCGTTCCCTCCCCTACTCGGCTGATTCACTTTTCTGTTAAATTAAAAAAGGTCGATTCCGTTTTTGACCGAACCAAAAAGTTTAACATTTACCTAATGTTATATACGTATAGAAAAGTATTAGTACCTAATACAAGTTGTATGCAAATTATGTAATATAAAAATAAAATACATAATTTACCAATATAATTGTTTTCATTAATTATTTTATCGGTGGAGTTTTTGATTGTGTTGGCATTTCTGCAGTATATTATTGCATTTTTATTACTTTTCTACATATGTATAGCATAAAGTAAGGGTAATTTTTTTGGGCAAAAACGGGTAAGTATGTCCAATTTGATATATATACGCAGAATACGACACACAACTCACAATAATACTATACTACACTGCCAAACTAGATACTAAATTAACTATTTTTTTGATTTATTAACTATTGCTTAAGTACAATATGTATTTGTTTAATTATATGTCAACTCATCTCTTTTTCATTTACAAAATATCTTTTTTTTTTTTTCAATACTCGTATATGTTTTGTACAACGGTCGATTGACACGAATAAAAATAAAAAATATGTATCCTTATGACAGTTTATATGTATAAATGTATAAAATATGCGATATTAATACCTATAATAATACGGTTACTATATTATTAGATATATGATGTATTATGTATAGATAAGTACGAATAAAAATGATAGCTGTACAATATATATAAACGTACCATATACTTTCTCTTATAATAAATACGATACTTAACGGTTCACTCGCTATTCGTATTCAATGGTAAATTAATTAAAAGCAAACCTGATTTGTCAGCAACTCGTACAGTTAATAATTACATTATACAATATTATAAACCTATTCTGGCTATTATACCTACATAATATGCATATTTAACTATTTGTTATTAAACGCGTTTTAAGTTGACGACCGCGCGAAGTTTACGGATTAATGACTTTATAGCTTAAACGCAGCGTATTCCTATTTTGTATTTTATCATTAATTATTGTAATTTGAGATAGAATAATTGTTACACTCAATCGTAATATGTCATTGATTTATATCAAGTATCAACTATACATTAAAGATAATTTTTATTTCGACACATTTTGGTTAGGTTTGGTAGGTATAGACCATAAACAATTTTTATGTTAATTTCAAGGATTGCATGTGGTGTATCTAGTTCATTTTATTCAGGTATTTTTATAATAATATATTTCAAATACGTAGGGACATTGCTTTCTGTTGTACAATGCGCATTTTAATAACAAAAAATTAACTATTTATTATTTTTAAATGCAAATTTTTTTTCTACAACCCTATACCTATATGGCTACAGGTGAAATAAAGAAAGTTATTCGATTTTCGTGAGCTAAGCGATATGTGTGACTCGCCCCATAGGAATATATATAGGGGCTTACACTGTCATCATTTGGAGTAAAATCAGACAAACAACGTTTAGATCAGACAATCAACTAATATTTGATCCATAAAAATAAAACAAAATATTTATCAAGTATTTTTAACAACTGCCCAGGTATCAAATTATAATTATTTTCAAACAATTTTATGGGTACATAAATACAATTTATAATTTATATAATTAATTGACAAATTTTTAACTTTTTTTTATTTCTTTATTATTTAAAAAAATTAAACGAATTTACAAGAATAATAGATGGCAACATTGCACAGAAAATCGCAAGTAACCGTGCTGTTTTTGGGGTTATTTTGACAAATCATTGTTTGATAAAAAAACCGCACGGAATCGTGTTCCCAAAAAGATAAAACGTACTGAATCGTGCTTTACCGGTAAAATCATGAGGTTAGCAAGCATCTTGAATAATATTTTAATTAAATTGTAGTGGTTCGATAAGTGTTACTCAATCGTTAATCATAAATGGGCAGAAATATAATGTATTAAATTTCATAATATAATTTTTAAAGAAGTTTTCAAGATTCTTAACTATGTCCACCGTCATGATCATTATTATCATCTCCTAATCAATTATTTAGTTTAGTACATATTATTAAAAGTGCTAAGGCTAACTATAAAGGTATGACAGTTTAATTAATTTTTATGGATAAAAGTTAAAAGAAAAAGATTAATTTGTAGTTTTACATATTACTCATAGCCCATAGGGTACCGCAGCTGTTTGTATGCAATCCTAATAAAAATGTATTGGTAGCAACTAGCAAATGTTACTCCGTATTGACGCCTATGCCTATTACGAGAGTTGAAAAACAAAGCAAATATCCTGTTGTTTTTAAGTCTATTAATTTTGGTTGAACCAACATCCAACCTCGTCAATATACGATATATATCTATATAGAATATGTATGGTCGCCATTGGTTGCCAGAAGCTCTCGGAGTAAAAGCTCTGATCCAGTCAGTTAATAGTTTCCCGGCATGTGTTTCGCTCTTAAGGTTGTTTCAGCAGATCTCCTTGTCGACAGTTGCAATGCATGTCAGGTTGATGTACTAATGTTTTTTTTTCCATGGCATTTAAAATAATTTCCAGTGCTTTATGAATGTTGACAGATGGCGCTCAAAGATTTGTTTGTGAAATTTAAAAATTCTTTCAACTTATCTGTAAGGTACTTAATTACATTCTACTTGTAATGGTCATCGTTGTATAATTTGTAGCCCCATGAATAAACAAATAAAAATTAGTAGATTTCCTTGAGCCAAAATTAAATTCATGTGTAGCTACTCTTCACTTGAAAAAATACTCAAGGTAATAATAGACCCCCGCGGTCTCAAAGAATCTATTGATATAACATTTATTGAAAACGGTCCAGTAGTTTTTGAGAGTCCCTATAGCTTACAGACAAACATCCATTTGTATGTACATAGATTAAATGGAAAGTACAACATTTAGGCCTCTAACTTTTTTTCCGGTGGGATCAAAGATTTTAACAACTTCAAACCAGCTCATCCTGACAACGCGAATCATTTCGCAAAAAGACGTGTAAAACACGATTCAATAGTTTTGGGTAAATCAATTTCAGATATATTTATAGCCTATAAGCGCTAATGGGGGAGAGGGTTTATGGGGCTAAGCCTCTCAAAAATGTTCGACTCTTCAATAGGGTAAAAAAATGTTTATATTACAACAATACTTTAGCTTTGGATTACATTGTCAAGATATTCTTTACCAATCAAATAATTTTTTATCGATGTATTTTGTATAAGAAATTCAAAAATGTCAAATTTCTTTAAATACCTGGCTCGAAATAACTTAAATTATGCAATGTATATTGCATAATATGTGCCATGTTCGTATAAACATATTTTGGTGAAAATTTATATTGGATTTGTTCATGTATATTTAGTTGACGCGAGTACGTATAAACTACGCTTGAGCTAATTGTCCAAGTGTCGCTGTAAATTGCGTCCCATTTTTTATTTTTTTCTGTATATTATATTTGTGCCGTGGACTTTTTTTATACATATACATTTCGGCTTAAAATTTTTTTTTATATATCCATGGATATTTTTGCAAAATCAATATTTTCAGGACTTAGGGCCGGCAATAAAATTGTATTAATGTTATAGTATATAATTATATATTTAAAAGTATTGGTTTTGCTATTTGTTGTTTATGATTAAAAAAATGACGTATTATGAAAACCTTGTAATTAAATAACTTACTGGTAAAAAATGTAAGATTACGGG